CTGTCCATGTCACTGATGAAGATATCAAACAGAACCGGTCCCAATATGGAACCCTGAGGGACAACACTTGTCACCGATCTCCATCTGGACACTGAGCCATTGACCACTACCCTCTGGATGAGACCATCCAACCAATTCCTCACCCACCGGACAGTCCACCCATCAAATCCATACCTCTCCAGTTTAGAGAGAAGGATGTTGTGGGGGACCATGTCAAAGGCCTTGCAGAGGTCCAGATAGACGACATCAGTCGCTCTTCCCACGTCCACTGATGTAGTCACTCCATCACAGAAGGCCACTAGGTTGGTCAGGCAGGACTTGCCCTTGGTGAAGCCATGCTGGCTGTCTTGAATCACCTCCCTGTCCTCCATGTGCCTTAGCATAGCTTCCAGGAGGATCTGTTCCATGATCTTCCCAGGCACAGAGGTGAGACTGACTGGCCTGTCGTTCCCTAGGTGTTCCTGTTTTCTCTTTTTAAAAATGGGGGTTATGTTTCCCCTTTTCCCGTCAGTGGGAACTTCACCGGACTGCCACAACTTCTCAAATACGATGGATAGTGGCTCAGCAACTTCAGTTATATAAATCAGTGTAGCTCTATTAATTGAACTCTGAGTGGTCTGATCCATCTGGTCAGACCCATCCCAGCATTGGGTCCCCCATTGTAGGTTGTACTGATTCAGCTGTAGCTGTCAGCTCTAAGTGCAAGACTGCAGGCACGCCTGCAGGCCCAACTCTTTCCTGCCCTCTGCACAGAGAAGTAGTGTGTGCTTTGAGCACCTGGCTGATCCCACGTGCAAGAGATACATTTGGCTGTCAGGACACTACCTGCTGTTCCCCATCTTCTTTTAGGAAATGGCAACAGGGTGACTTCAGCATATGGGTCACCCTGAAAATGGAAATGCATCAATGAGAAAAGTCAAGAAAGAACAAAAGGCTCCTCTCTCTTTTGTTTTTTTCATTTTTTTCTCCCAAAGATGCATGGAAAGAGCTATTTCCGTGTTGAAGACTACATTCCAGCAAGTCGAATAGAGAAAATGACCCTGGCATACGTACAGCGAGAACTTGCTAAATTACATCGTATGAATCGTTCCCTATTTGAGGATGAAGCTGAACTAGAATTTTTAAAGGTAACTTGCCATACCCCAAACATTATTTATTTATTTTGAGATAGAAAGCCCCTCTCTATTTACCATTGTCTATTACTTCCTTCTTGCCTGATACAGTGGATTTTAGATAAGGTGAACAAATCTGAATAGTCACCAAAAAACTCAGCATTTCATTCTGCTGTAGATACTGTCACTCTAAATAACTTGCATCACATTTACATGGTAGGTTTCTTTTCACTGATAGTTTATAAAGGGTTAATGCACGTTTCAGGGTATTTTCAACATCCCAAAGGTTGATGCAAATTTTCAGCACGTTACCGACACATCTGGGTTCCAGATGATTCTAAATACATCTACTGAATGTATTAGAGATGATTATAGAACATGGGAATAAGCACTTTCTTGACTTCTGAAACTATAGCAGCTGTTCAGCCACCTTCTAAACACGTAGTGATTATTTGTTTAAAAATACCTGTGAACCCTGGAAGTGAGGAAGGAGTTATCTGAAGTATTTTCTCTCATGACTATTTCTCTAGGGCTCTAGGGTGTCACGATGATGTGGGATTTAATTTTTTTCCTCCCAATTTCTCCTTCTCCCCCAAACTTCTCTGCTTTCCATCAAATGAAAAATATCAGGCATTAGATAATGGATAAATATCAGTAGCCATTTTGCTGCAGTGCCACATGCTTTTATTTATAGCATCATTTTAATTCAGTTGCTATTTAATTATGTTAGTTCCTCATCTAACACTGTCAGTGGAATTGAAGAAATAGATTGAAGCTTAGCCTTAATGACAGTCCCATCATGCGTGGCAAATCCAATGAAGAAAAGCAGCTTTGTTAGTATCTGTTTCAATGAATAAGTCTGTAGAAGGAGTCAACACATCATACAAAGTGAGAAAGATAGCCCCTATGGCAAGAACATGCAAATTCCAAATATGAAAGGGATTAAAAATTAAAACCCAGATTCAGCTAGTGATTATAGATGCCCCAGTTTTCAGGACCTGAATGTTTGTGCTCTGGATACTTTCTGAAAAACAGATCTTAAAGTGTTTTATTTTGGTCACTGAAAAAAATCTCTATTCATGGTTGAAAAGTCATTTGGGGATTCTACATTAGCTTCCCAGGAAAAAAAAAAAGCTTTAGAATAAACTCATATTGATCTGCAGATAACAAAAGAAGGCGGAAAACCTTCCTCATATTCCATGGTTCTGTAAAGGGTCTGAGTCACCTTTTAACATTTTGTGGCCAAGTGCAGGAGGTAGAAAGACAAGCAACAACACCCAGAACCTGTGGGTGAGTTCCTCAGAGTATTCGCTGCACAGTTAGATGGCAGGGGCAGAAGCTGGCTCCTCAGTCCCTTGAAGTATAATCCTACTTAATTTTTCACCCATCAATGAGCACTGTGCAAGAAAGAAGCGACACTGAAGAGCTATTACTATAAAGTCTGGCACTGAAGGGAATTCTGGGGCAGTGAAATTCCCTCAAAAGTCACCACTATATTTAGGTGAGATACTTTGAGGTACAATTTAGCAAATCCTTTAACTTAAAGATTCTTGGCAACTGAAATTTATATGTCTGATTTTAAAAGATGGTAGCCATGAAGGAAAGGACATATGTACCTGAGTGAGTTTGTTGCAGGGTAAGAGCTGTGGTGTCACTGCAGTTAAGATTTCCAGTTGGTCATCACTATTGTAAAAAGGAAACCACACAAGCCTGTAACAACGTCAGAGTAGCCCTGGCACCAAAGTATTAGCAGTTTTCCTAAGCTCATCATATTTGCTGTACCTCGTGGTTTCTGGGTTTGCTCAGGGAAACACAGACACAGAAAAGAAAACGGAAAGAAACAAGGTTTAACAGTAGTTCATGCGGCATTAATCCTGCATGGATTTCTATTCAGAAATGCACACAAGTGCCAAGAAGCAGTAATGCTGAGTACCTCAGTGCCACTGTTCAGATTATTGTGCAGGAAGCTACATAATCCTTCTACCTCTTCAAATGAGGTGTGTAGGAAAGTGTTACTTCGATTTTACACATGGAAAATGAATGCATGTAATGGCTCTATGACATACCAAAGTAAGGTGATGATTCTGTGAGGCAGTAAGTATGAAAATTTGGTAAGGGCTTCCAAACATTTCTTGACAGAGTGAAAGAATATTCAGAAAAGGCACTCAAAAAAATTTCCCCTCCCATCTACATACCTTTTCTCCCCATGCCTCTTTTTGAATAATGCATGGTAAATGCACTTTTTCTCTACAAGGTGACTCAGCAACTTCCTGAATATGGAGTGTTATTCTATCATGTGTCCCAAGAGAAGAAAGGAGCAGGAGGGGACATCATCCTGGGAATCTGTGCCAAAGGCATCATTGTGTATGAGGTCAAAAATCACACAAGAATTGCCAGTTTAAGATTCCAGTGGCGTGAAACAGAGAGAATTTCAGCTCACGTGAGTTGGAACCAAGTGCATCTCTTCTCCACTCTACTACTTTACTCCCCTTCTGCCTGTCATTTTGATAAATTTATTGCATTCAGAGCCAGGATTAGACTCATTCTGTACAGGCAAGTCCTTTTTGAAAACAGTCTAAAATCAAGGCTGGATCTGGATGTGGATCCCAAGACATCCAGTTCTTAGTGAGGTGTAGTTCTGGAGTTTTTTGCCAGGGCTGGAGTCAAATTACTATAAAACTGAATAATCTGGTGTTGACTATTACAGAGACTATGCCAAACCTCTTTATGGCATATTCCATATTCATTCCTCTCCCATCTTTACCTCTCTCTCCCTTTTCTTTTGTTTTCCTTCCTACATCAGGTCATGGGATCATGTCTCCCTCTTTGCAGATCTTACTATTCCCATTCTCATCTCTTAGTATATTGACGTCTGTTAACAAGCCAGTATTGGTGACAAGATTTTGACCCCTTCTAAATGGTATTCTGCCATCAGAGGCATATCAACCTACCATCATACAGTGCAGGTGTCAACCTGCATCACAGATTTCCCAGCCTGTTTGCTCTCCCAAAATGGCCCTTCTGCCCCTTGAAGATATTTTCATTTTCACATTAAATTGGTTTAATCATTTTAACATCTGTAGGGCCAAATTTTGCCAGTTCTATCAACCTGCTCCCAACGTAGTCAATGTCCAAAGGCTCTTGACTTTCGATATAGGGCAGTTATGATCCCAATGACAGACACCTCACTAACAACTGTTGAATTTATGAAAGGCATTTAGTGCACCTAAAAGGCATGCAGCCAGGCATATATACAACTGGATAAACCAACAAGATTAGACAAATGAACTTTCAGTGCCTCAGTGTAATAACTGATATATGAAGCAAGGTGTGCTTTTTCTTCCCTTTAGAGAAGAAAATTTATGATTGAAAGCAGCTTCAGTGGCAAGAAACACACCTTCTTTACCGACACAGCAAAGACATGTAAATATCTACTGGACCTCTGCTCTGCCCAGCACAAATTCAATGCACAGATGAATTCTAGGCAACTTCGCCAAACTTCATCAGGTGAGGTATAAATGCACTTTCATTATTCAGGCCACAGGACAAGGTTAAGTTCTAAGAAAGGTGCATTCAGTGAAGCTGAGAATCAGGACCTGCCACATCAGTTTCACACTGCTTCAGTTTCTCATTTGCAGAGCAGAAAATAATGTCTCCTACTTCACTGGAAGTTAGAGGTGTGTAAGTCTAATTTAGCGTGTGCATGTGAGTGTGTGTGTGGTTCTCTGATGATAATAACTATATAGCCAAACTCAGATTTGAAAAAAAGCATGATTACACTTCCCTTCAGGAAACCTGCTGAGAATTCTGAAGAAACATATCAGACTTACCCCAAATGCAACCTGACAAATGTTCCACACAAAGAATAACTACAGTAGTGCCCAGATATGCTGGAGCTGAATTTAGTTAACTGGTTATCTTTGCATAAGACAGGGATTCAACCCTATGGTTCAGTCCCAGGACAAAACCACCAAACCAAAAGCACATCAGTTACACCCACTCAACTATGTAGTTGCCAGCTGCTCTTATCTTAGGTTTTGCCATGTCTGTAGAAGATATGACTATTACCTCCTTAAACTTCAGATTTTCAATAGTTTCTAAGAGAAGGTTCTGCTCAACCCAGAGCAAGTTACATAGCACTTCTCACCCACAGTTCTCAGCATGCTCTGTAAAGATGGGTGAGGATCATTATGAGGAAACTGAGGCACATAAGAAATAACAGCCTAAGCTGACAACTGTTATCACTCTTGACTTCAATGGAGCAACATAGATTTTCACTAGCTGAGGAATTGTCCTTTGCCTTGAACAGACTCATCATCATTTACAACTACTAAATATTGGTCCCAGTGAGTCATAGCAGAAGAATCAAGTGTCATGCCTTATCTGCTGGGATACTCCTTCCTCTAGTAAAACTGTAAAAGTGTTGGCAATGAAATTATATCATAGGATATAACAGGATGATTGATATATTGCTTCTTTACCACTAAAATTATTTCATGAAAAGTGAAATTCCACCTGCACAAATTTGTTACCACAGAAAAAGGCGCTAGGATGATATTTAGGTTCAAGGCACCTCTTTTTGCTCGGGCTCCTGTAGCTTCAAATATAACTTAGTGGGACTGTGATTTGTAGCATAAAAATGAGTCCTAATAGTGAATCTTAGTTTCCTGTGTCACATTTGCTTGTGGTAATATTTCTTAATAAACTACTACATTTCATATATAAGAAAACAAAAAGATTGAGAGCTAAGAAAATTACAATCCAGGTCCTGATTACAAGCACCTCAAATCACAGAAAACAGCCAGACTTACACAAGCTGTGTGACTGCAATTTCTGAAGTTCGGTGTGTGCTTGCTGTCCCAGAAAAAAAGGCTTCGTGAAGGCAATGATAGACAGTAGTTCAAAATGCTGCCTTTGCCACCACAGTGAGACTGTAAGAGATTATAAGACTCTTTCTGCATGAGGGAAACTCTTCCTTCTGCTGCACTGTTCAGATGTATAAGTCACCATCTCTTCAAAACTTGTTAGCAACCCCCTGGTTTTGAAATCACCATGGCAACTCTCAGACTGCGCTAATACTGTGGACAGTTAAGCCTTCTGATGCCTTAACAAATGCCCCTGATCAAAGTCACTGAGTAAAGAGGAAGCCTAGGTTTAACGCTGCAGAGTAGTGTTCTAGAAAGCTTGCATTCAGGCTAATATTTGTCAGGAAAACTCACAGGAGGTCAGCTGTCACGTACAAGCAGAATTAAAGCCCATATTTGTGCTAGCCTGTACCAAGCAGGGTTCCTGTTTTACTTTCTGACATGTCTCCAATTGCCTGCTGTCCCTCTCTCCTTCAAATCCCCTCTCCAGCCCACCAGTTGAGAACCTAAATAAATTAACAATGCCTCCTCCAGCACTATCTTGTTTCAGGGAAATAAAATTTTTTGAGAGGATAGATTCGTATAAAGCAAGGCCCAGCTGTCATTAAGCAAGTAGTAGATTTCACACAGAGGTGGAAAATGGGATAGCAAGCATTGCCACCAAGATGGTCCCCTACTCAACTTTACTTGTGCAAATCACTCAGAGCAAACAGCTCCTTGGCTCCTCTCTGAACTTAAAAGAGCATGTGTTAGTAGAGCTCCTGTCTTCTCAGATATACGTATATTGGAGTGGTGGGCCTGTGAAGGATGGGAAACTACCAACCTGGCTGTTTCTGTCTCTGACAGACAAATATTTCCCATACACCGAACGTTTACAAAATACACTTTACAGAGATATTCAGGTTTAAATTATACAGGGTTGCACATTTCATCTGTCTTGCAGAAAGTGAATTTGCAGTATAATTCATAGAAATGAAATCTAAATACAGCGTATACTTTCTATGAAAGAAATGGATTGCAAACCCTTTCCACTCACTCTAAGGCTTAGATATTCTCAAGGATACCAAAACAAATACATCTGTGATGTCAATCTTTTTTTTGCTGGTATGTTCAAAAGTTTAGGCAGAAAGCAGCTTTGAGCTTAAAAAGTTGGGATAATATCAGTGGATTTATCTTTCCTTCCTCCTCCCCTCTCCCTTCTTATTCAGAGGAAAGTAAATATATGGAAATAGACAAATCAAATTCTGCATATGCAGCTCAGCGTGAACACCTTGCCCTGATTCAGAGACTGTCTCGTTCAGAGAATGTGCTCTATGGAGCAAATCTGGAAAACCTTTCTGCTGGGATGATGAGCAAATCTTGTGACAACCTCAGTGTGGAAACCAACAACAGGACTAGAGACAAAAGCAATCTTGGCAGGTAGGTTTGCTTTTTCCTCTAAACGTGTGTAAGAATACTCAGTCATAGACTATATCATTGCAAACCACTATGGTAAACTCTGAGGCAGACTTTTTTTTTCAGTCTTTATTGTGGTCACACCAAAGGGCCCTTGTCAGTCCTGGGGCTCCGTGGTGCCAGCAGTAGTGCAAACACAGGCAGGAAGCTAACAGTATAACAGATAAGAACTTGAAAAAGAGTGACATATAAATTTGTACCAGACTGAGGAATGAACCACTTACTGGGTTACAGAGATCGATAAAAATAAGGGAAAATAAAAGTAAAATCTTTAACGTCTGTGTATCTTCTCTGGAAATGGCAGTATGTGAACTGAATGCACAGTGGAAGCTGGTTTTGAGCAGGTCTTACCTAATTGATTCCTCCATGTCTAAAGGTGCAAATCACAGAGAACAGTGTAGGAACTTCTCCATTTTGATTTGCATTGGTACATTCACCAGTGTAGGTGGTTACTATAGCTGCACACAGTCTCAAGGCCTTTGATGAATTCTAGTGCCTTTTAGAATACTAAGAGTTAGAATAGAGCCAAGAAGAACATGAACTACCAGGAAAACTTTCAGACGTGGTTTTGTCCAAATGGACAGCATGGCTGAATGAATCATGCTGAGGCTATGCTGTCTTTTCCTGATGCCTGCACTCAGCTCAGAGAATAACACAGCCAGAAATGAGTCGTGATGCGAGTAGTCTAATGGCAGCTGTTATTTGGAAGCAAATGCTGGCAAGGATAAACTACCTCTCCCTTACAATGAAATGTGGCCCAGAAATCAGAATACTCGTTGAAAGGCCATAAACATGTGCATTCCCAACTTGGCTCTGACAGACTAATGACAACAAAGAGTGCTAAATACCATTGCTGATTTGTCATTATAACGCAGTCTTAAATTTCCTGCTGTGCAGATCCACATCGGGGCTATCCCAGTCAGAAATGCACATCAATTTGAATGGAAAGCAAAGGAGTTATGACTACCTCTCTATCCACTCAACTCAGAACACAATCAGTGGTGAGTATAATAATCATAGAGAGAGACAGTACCTTTCCATATTTACTGTTTCAATAGCAGGAGACCAAAATATATTCTACTTACAGATTAAAGAATATCCTTTTGCACTTCTAGTCCTGGGAATTAACCCAAAGTTTAGCAAGACAAGCTGTTTTCTTCCCTTTCACTCCTGCTTTCCATCAGGATCAGTGGTAAGGGACTTCATGATAAAATTATTCTATCAATGGTGCCTAATGGTCTTCAGAGACGTAGTTCAGTACACCCAGGACTCTGGTGCAATATCCCTATGCTCAGAGGTCATCATTTGGTTTGCAATTGAGATCTACAATTCAATAAATAACGCATGAGACAACATAGGCTCCAGGTCCTTCCTCTGTTCATGCATTTGCATGACACTAACTGGAATAAGAAGAACTGGACACCTAATTTTCTAACAGAAGCCATATTGCATGCACACAGTGAGCTGATCTATGGAATACAAAGCTATAATTATTTGGTTCGTCCATTTTAAAATTAGAACTGTACTTTAAAGACACTGTGGCAATTGCACAATGTTAAGTAGTGTTAACACTACAAAAGTCACCATCACAATCAGTGCTGATGGATTGCATCTACAGAGCCAAAAGGGCCCACAGGGCCAAAGGCTAGAGTTTCCATAGAACCCATAGTAGATTTTGTGTCCAAATCACCCTCGTGTTCAATGGGTGCTACATGCCTGACTCTTTAGATACCCTAATTTTAATAAAAATGTTGCGGATAAATGGGTACTCTCCCAGAAACGAACATTATAGGAAGAGCTTACACAGCTACTGTACATATACTTTTCTAAAGAATGCAAATTTCCAAACACTTCTTTGAGCTTTCTTCCTGCATTATACTGATTCAGAAGTAATGGTAATGTTGAAAACAAGGTCAAAATATATTTTTAATTTTTGAAGCCCCAGTTTTGCATGCTATATGAATCTATTGTCTCCCTGCATTAATCTGCATTTATTCTAGCTGTTTTGTTTCTGCAGCACCTGGATCACCAGCCACCCAAAAGGAAGTTTTGCTAAGTGGTCTAGAAAGAGAAATCATTTGTGTCAGCCTAAAACGTGACCCTAAGAATGGATTTGGTAAGTAAGGAACATGAATGTTATGTTTGTTACTGGGACTGTCAGATCCTGGTGCTAACACTGATACTTGCCTACTCAAGCTGAGCAAGACTGTAACCTTCTTCACCTCATTTATTCTTCTTATAGAATAAGACTACCAATCTTTGTGAAGGACTTAGAATTTCTGAGACTGAAAATGACTAAGCGCATAAATTAAGACCACAGTTTTTTCAGAGGATTAACTAAGGCCACGGAGGTCAAGGGGACCAAGTGCTAAGAGTAGAATGAAAGGAACAAGGGTCTAGTTTTGTATCTGAAACACATGTGCAGTGATTTTATTTATCTTAGACCTTACACAGGGGGAGATGATGTTCTGAAAACTTTTCAGGTATTGCCTGTGGGGGTGCAAAATGGGTACACAAGCTTAACATGAATGTTTCCTAACTTTTGGATTCTTATTTGGATAACATTTTTGTTATATAATACACTATCGCATTGTATCCTGTTCTTGTGGATGAGTTCAGAGGACCATCAGATTTCACAGCTGACCATTAATACAATTAAACATCAAATTTCTAAACGGTGCAGGTCTCTGTAGAATATCCTGATTCCAAACCCAACTATTCTACCAGTGAGAAGAACATATTCTGCAATAGGCAGAACATTCTGAGCTAGGATAGTGAAATTGAACTACTTGACAATAGATTTAATTTTCTTAGATATCTGTTACATATCCATTAGAAGTTTACACGGCCCACCTCAGGGGCCCTAGATTACATGATGTAGAACAACGTTCAAATTTATCTAATGAGCTTTTAAACTATTTTCGTCCTACAGGTGTTAAATACTAAGGTCCACATAGTTTATGACTCTTGTAAGAAAGTAGTTGGAACCTTTAAAAGTCCCAAGCCAGGAAAGCATTCTTATTGAGAAACTATATTTAAATAGACACTGAAGTCAACAGCACACTAATTATAACGTGAGTTTAAAGCTCTCCCAAATCAAGACCTTGATGCCGTGTAAATCAGAGCTCCCCATTCTCCATACCACATATAAACTTTACGCCACTGGAGTAAGAGCTTTTGTGCTCCCAAGTTTCATCTTTTCTAATAGTGCCAGTGTCTCTGCATTCTCATGCTATCTCATTTTTGCAGGTTTTGTAATTATTGGAGGAGAAAATATAGGAAAATTGGACCTCGGTATCTTTATCGCTTCAATTATCCCTGGGGGACCTGCAGACAGAGCTGGAAATATCAAACCAGGTCACTGTCCTTAGTTTTTAATTAGAATTAAAATACTCTCATGGTTTAAAGTTAGCTACTCTGGATTTATTTCCTTATTTACATGTCTTGGTTTTATCGTTTTTTGTTTGGTTTTTTTTAAGGAGGACGACTCATCTCTGTGAATAATATTAGTCTTGAGGGCGTTTCGTTTAATACTGCAGTTAAAATCATACAGAATTCTCCTGACGAAGTGGAGCTCATCATCTCTCAACCCAAAGGTATGAAGGCAAATGCCTTTGCTGGCTATGGAATGCTAATAGTTAACTCAGGACACTGGTATTTATTAGGCACTGGGATGTAGTAGTATTTTCTTGCTACTCAGAGCCAGTTATAATAACCATAGGCTAGCAGTGAAAATAGTCAACTTCTAGTAGGTGTCATGTGATCTCTGTTCTATAGTCAGTGTGAAAAAATTATGGGCTGCACTGCTGAATACCAAGGGAATTTTGGCATTTCTTTCTCTGATAGAGTCATAGTCCTTTGCAGTGATGAAGCAAATACATTTCTCCACACTTATAATAGCAGCACTCCATTTTACAATGACTGACTCATTTTATAGATCTGATTTCACAACCAGTTGATGTAGGAGGTTACTTTGTCCTCCTGTGCTGAGGTATAATAACATTTGTCTTCAAATTTACTTACTGTTTGCATTCAGCAATGTTTTATTTTGGTACGGCTTTACAGACATGTATGAAGAAGGATTAAATGAAGAAAAGAATCTATCAAGAGGAAACAGCACTAGTGGATCTGAGATCTCTTGTGTAGACAGTGGGAGAAAAAAGATTCAGGATTGTCATACAGCTCTCCCCAAAGAACAGAACATAAATATAGATGAACTTGAGAAGGCTCTTTCCTGGAGTTTAGCACCAAAATTGGGCCCTAGGATTCCAGTTCCTTCAAATGACAGCCTGGATGTGGAGGTAACTGAGATTTTGATGCTGTTCAGTAATACTACGCCCAGCATGTGTCTTAAGAACATGCTAGCTATATTGAGAATTGAAAGTAACCGAGAAATTAAAAAAAAGAGGAAAGGAGAAAGAAAACCTTTGAAGATGTTGCTTGTTAAATTACATTGGAAATGTAAAAACTATAGACATGTCTAGAATATGTAAAAAAATGGGGAAACCATCCACAAAATGTTATTAAAAATTCTCCTCCCTTTTCCAGTGGAGGTACAAAATTTTGATTATTTTCTTGCAATCTCTTAAGTTTTCAACCAGACACAGAACAGCAACATTTTGTGTCTAAGTTCCTACTATTAGACAGCCTCCCTATCTATACTCAGCTTATGGACACTTAGACAGATTGGATTTTGAGTAAGATTAGTGTAAGCTTGAAATAATGTCAGGGATATAAATGGTACCACTCCAGGCTTACAGTGACAGTGGATCAAACCCTTTATATCTTCTGGAAACTCTCTCTTCCTTTTTTTCTTCCTTTTCCCCCCCCTTTTTTATTGAGATGTTGTAGTCTCATTAGTGTTTATATTTTTGAGACAGGAAGCTGATTCTTTGCACTTACCATCTCCATCTGAAACCAACTCAAAGGAAATCTATACCGTGGAGCTTGTAAAAGAAGACGGGACTTTCGGAATCAGTGTGACTGCAAGTGTTACTGTTAATCTTTCAGTGTGTCTGTCAAACTGTTACATTACCAAGAAACACATAGGGAAGTGCATTTATGTGGAACAAAGATAGAAAATAGGCTGATAATAAGAACCGTTAGCATGGCACGTTTCAAACCTAAGTGTCCGTTTGATTGACAGGGAAAGCATAAAGTACTGGCTCTGCTCATTCCCCAGTTCTTGCCTGCAGAATCTGTGAAAGAAGTGTGCTGGCATAAAGCCCTTTTCATCCTTAGTCAAGTTGAGAACAAGACCTACAACTGAAAGTGGAGTTTGGTCAGGGAGGGATATAGCCAGAGCCTCTAGAAAATGCAGTGATGCAAAGAATTCCCCAAGTCATGACTGGTTTTGCTGCTCCCCTGGAGCTCCTGGAACTCAAAGGCTGTGTCTGTACAAGCAGATTACACAGGACCATGGCATGGGCTTAGCAGTGGCCCACAGGCATTGTTTAGTTGTTGACAGCCCCCAGTGTGGCTTTGACCTGTGCCTCAAAACAAGCAGTATAACAGAAGCCATCCCATGCTGCGGGGCTGAAAGTTTAGCTGTATGGACTCAAGATAAACCATGCTTCTTACTCTGAAGGCCAGAGGAAGGGCCCCAGCCAATTTTATTTCCTAATATAAGGAAATGCAGTTCTCTGTATATTTAGAGGACCAGAGAAGGCAGCAATGAAAACTACCTGCCACATTTGAACAATAATTCCTTGTCCTGGCTATCAGAGTTGAATTTACCCCTCCAGGCTGAGATGTCTTTACAGTCCTTACTGAAATGGAATGGGAAGCAAGAGCCATTTCATTGCCCGCAGAAGAAATCGAGAGCTGCTTTTTCATCTGAATTTGGCCAGGGGATGTAGATGGACAGAACATGATTCTTAGGTTCATCTGGAATTCCTCCGAGCTATAGACTCTCAAGTGGCTGTACAAGTTCAGGTCCATGCTTTATATATTGTCCGAAAGGTTAATAATTGCTGAATGGATATTGCATATTTTGCAAGCTGGGCTGAAGACTGACTGAAAGATGCAACCCTATCTTTATGTTAGCACAGGGAAAAATGTATGAACATTTAGTAAATGTTTTTATATAGCCACGTAGAAATGCATTGCATTTTCCTGAGAAAATAAAACAAGATTACTGCCTAGGGAAGTATATTACAACTAGATGGGACTTTGGAGTAACATCCTCTTTCCTTTTTTCCTATTTTAAAAAAAAGTAATTCCTGAAGCAGTTGCTTTGCAATGCATGTGTAAGTTGCTTTGATTTTTATCACGGGAAGAACATGTGAAGACTCCACTCTAATCTGTGGACATCTGTTTTGCAGGGTGGAATTAACACTACTGTGCGTCATGGTGGGATATATGTGAAGTCAATTATTCCCAGGGGACCTGCAGATAAGGACGGACAAATAAAGATAGGTAACATGTCTGGCAATAAAACTCTGGACTGCAGAACTCTATGTTAGTGTAGAATGCTTGCCACAGGGACAATGAAACACATTTTGGATTGGAGGTCATACAACTGTGAAATGTAATATGCAGTCCACCACTCCTCAGCCTGTCCCTGTACCACATATAGATAACCCACTGAAAAACCAGGAGCCTCATACCAACATTGTACAGTTACTCTCTGTGGCTGCACATCAGGCTAGTGACTCTGACATCTACTTTCAGTGCTGCTGTGATAACCAGATACTATCACTGCATTTACTTACAGAATACCCTGGTATGTTTTAAGTACTAGTTATAGAATGCTGTACAACAAGTAGTATTGCTTTCATACAAAGTAACATAATTTGACACATGGAAGCATGAAGATCTATTTCAACATGGGTAGCCTCAAGGTTTTACAGCCATTGAGCTCGAACATCAAAGCAACTTGACCCTTTTTTTGCTTGTTTGTTTATTTTCTTTTGCCTCAGGTGATCGTCTGCTGGAAGTAGATGGCATCAGCCTCTGCGGCATCACCCACAAACAGGCTGTGGAACACCTTAAGAAATCTGGCCAGGTTTGTACAACAGCAGAGCTCAATAAGATACCCAGTAGAATAAACTGCACTTAATATGAAGCACAGTAGCAAAGCTGGGCCAAAAGAAACTTCCTACCCCACCCCATACAACCCCATTCTCCTAAAAAAAAAAAAAAAAAAATAAAAAAATTAAAAAGACTTAGGGCTTACTGTGTACTGTGTAACTGGAACCTGTTCATCATTGTTTTAGATTGCCAAGCTGGTTCTAGAAAGGGGAAACTACCAATTGGCAGAGCCATGCCTGACTGCTAATGACAGAAAGGAGGACCAATGTGCAGTTGTTTCTGTGGCAACATCCTTCACAGATGGTACCAAGGACTACTGCTTTTTGACAGATGGTGAGCGATAAAAAAAGGAACTCAGGGTGACTTCTTGCAATGTGCAAGAAAGGAATGAATGAAAATAATTCTATGAAATTTCTGTGGGTTGGAAGGAAAACTGCGTACTGAATAAAAATATAATGTGCAACATTAATGGCATTATCAAAATTCAATTACAAACAAAATATTTCTGATGTACTTAGAGTTACAGTTGCTAGCCGAATTTATCCTAGGCATAAATACCTTATGTCTCAGCCTTCACGAGATGGGGCTGGCAGGGGACATCCCTGTCTGTACTCTATTGCACTCTCAGGCAGGAAGCAGCTGTGTTGATGTTGCCAGTCTGTTACCCAAAGAGAGCACCGCCAGCACAACAGCTGATGCTGCGTCAGTGATGAAGCTAGGGTGAACTGCTGCCCCAGGGCCAGGACTGGAGACTGCCATAACTTCACTTCTTAAAAGCAGAAGATTCAGAGATCACTTTTACTGAATTTAGCCAATAAATCTTTTATTGGCTATACCTTTTACTGTAAGGCTGTCTCACAAACACTAAGTCTGAACCATACTTTCCCATGGGGCAGTTCCTCCTCTACATTGTCCCTAGGAGAATGGGGTTCAGCTGCAAGTATGGTATTTGGGAAAGGGCTGGTCTCTTGTTCTTGTCTTGAAAGAGCAGTAGCTCTGATTCTAGCTTATGCTGGTTAGTGCAGGACCCAAACTAACATCAGACAGCTACAGAATAGTAAGATCTACCCAACATTTACAGAAGAATGTCAGAAAAGGATAGCATTTGAACCTTTTTATGTTGGTACAAAAGGCTTCTTCCTTTATGGGCTTGCACCAGATGGCATAAAGTCTGTGAACACACAGTGGAATAGAATCCAGTTCTCCCCATTCAGCCTGTGCGATTTCAAGGGTTCACATAAGTTAAAGGAACACCAAACCCTTCTTTTGCCATTAGTATCAGTAGATCTACCTCTGCAGCACACAGGGAAAAGGTCTGCTGAGGGTGTAATTTACATCAGCTCCTTAGAGGGTACGTATGCCACAGCTCCCACTCTTTTTCCAATCCCTGCTTGGAACAGATAATACATTTGAAGTCAAATTGACAAAGAATTCTGGAGGCCTCGGCTTTAGTGTTCTGCAAATGGAAGGAGATTCTTGCAAACACCTTGGAGGAGCTATTGTCAGAATCAAAAGACTGTTTCCAGGGCAGCCAGCTGAAGAGAATGGCGAAATTGAAGTCGGAGACATCATTTTAGCTGTGAATGGGAAGCCTATTCAAGGACTCTTGTATCAGGTACCAGGCATTACTATCATGATGGGTAACATATTAATAAAGACAATGGGATGAAACTGCATTTAAACATAATTATCACCAGAGGGGGTAAGAATTTGCATATAATGAATCTGATTTCTATGTTGGATTCTTCTCTACAATTCTTATGGAGAATTTCCTTCCTAACAGAATTTTTACAGAGAATTTCTTCTGCTATTTAATTTATAACTTTCTACTCCTGATGCACAAAGTCTATTGTTAGATGCACACCAGTTGTTAATTAGTTGGAATCTTTGTTGCTGTTATGCATAATTGGAATATTTTTTCCCTGTGGTCATTTGTGCTTTGTAATGTCATGCTAAATATCATGCCCCAGATTCAAATTTCTACCAGGTGAGGTAAATCCAATGTAACTTTTTTACCTGGAATGAGAAATTCTATACTCACATGAAGAAATTAAATGGTAAAAAAGGACTACATGTGGATTTATTTTTTTTATCATAATCTTTTCACCTTATGAAAATCCCTGAGTTTTGTATATGAATAGGCATTGAATAGCTAAGATTGGTAACAACCAGAAATGATGAAATCATGCAATTTTGCCACTGACAGGTTATTCGTATCATTAAATAGCTAGGGCAGAAGACAAGGTGCTGTAAGTCCTAGACACCTGGGGGGGTGCTGTAATTGTACTCCATTTGATTTTTCTGACCTGGAGTCTGCCCTTTTCTAGCACGGTCTTGCTCTCTGATGTACCGCCTTTTTACTCAGTTTGTGCAAAGGGGGAGACAGGGTGTTTTGGCCTACCGCATTTATTTTTTTTTCCTCTAGATTTAGTATTTCAACTCCCACTATACTTGAAAGCTGAATGCCACTGAATAGATGTTATGTCAAGGAAGGGCTTTGAGAAAGTCTACCTTTGGTTATGTCAATATGGCAGTCTGTGGAGCTATGCTGATATAATTGACTGAAGATGTGTCCCTGCCACACGCAGTCTGAATGCATTTGTATGAAAATCCTGTTTTCTTCAAGAAAAGAAAAAGAATTAATTCAAACCTATGTGTCTGTTGGTGGAACAAGAGTTTGTAAACAGAACTGACTTGACTTTAGATACACATTCACACAAAAACTATGGTCCACTTACATGACAATCAAACAGTAGTGATTTTTGGCCCCCAGACACTGCTGAGAGGCAGAAATACTAGGAATTTGGCATTCACAATAAAAATTGTCTCCATCCCAGTTGGTAAAATGGCATGTACTATAGACTGTGTTCCATAAGAAATCTAATATTCCTTCTTCCTGCTTAGGATGTCCTGCACTTGTTGCGAGGAGCTCCTCCAGAAGTCACACTACTACTTTGCAGACCACCAAAAGGTGTTCTTCCAGAAATAGAGCAGAGTGCCCTGGTAAGGCAAAGCTTTTGTCAGTAAACTTGCTTTTGTAAACCTGGAAAAACACTACTATATTTTCTATCCAGTCTTGAACAAGGCAACCTTCCCTTTTCTTCAAGGCTCTCTATTCCATTTCTTTCCCTTCCTTTCCCTCAACATCTAGAGTTCAACTGATTCTTCCTTAGCAATCAAAATAATAGAAATCTGACAGTTATGAAACATGTTTGTCCCAGTCCAACAACTTTTAAATTGCAGTACTGTCATCAGAGCGAAATAGCACATACCCAAGTAGATCTTCTAGTGGCGCTTCTGAAAATCCTCTACTAGATCCTCAGACAGAAACTGCAGATATTCTCAACTGCAGCTATTATAACTCATGGGCTTGAGGTAGCTATATTACTCTCAAAAGCAAGAGGAAAATAAAGAACTTTTCATATCCAGGCTACCTCTTAATAAACTTAAATAAATGAAATAATGGTTTCAACTGGTTATTCAGCTTCTTGTCGCTAGTTAGCAAAATCTGCAGGGGCCTGGGGGGGATGGATGGAAATCAAACAGTAGAGACTGCAGAGACTAAAACAGTGCCATTAGGTGTGATAGCATTATTATTCTTGCTTCCTGAACACAACTCATGGACACATACACAAGTACTCTTATAGTGAACATGCATTTGCATTACTCATGCTCCATGCAGAATGGCCTACTCATGGTTCCTGTCCCACGAGGATTTATAAGCGCTGCCCCTGGGCAGACAGAAATGACTGTCAGGACCATCTCCAGATAACAAACTGGTTCCTGTTGCTCTCCTACAATGTGCCCTTAGCTGATTTCTATGGTCAGTTGCACAGGAGTCAAATCTGAAGACACGTCTACACAATGAAGAGAATATAGACACAAAGTTGAAGCATGACATGAAAAGGAAAAAAAAGGGGCCACCTCTAGCAAAGAATTAATTGGGAAAAGTGAACTTGTGTAGTAGTTCCCTAACTGGAACTCCTGAAGAATGTGGAAGATAAGCATAAAGACAAAATAATTATTTAGTGAGAGAGTACCTCCCTCTATTTTTTCCCTCCCTTCCAGCTACCATTTGATATTTTCACTTCCAAATGCTTATTGATATTGTCTCTTCAGATTATTTTGTTCTTAAAAGAAAGAAGATGGGAGATAAAAAAGGAGTTACACTAACCTTTCTGTTATTTTGATAGACTCCAGCACCATCTCCAATTAAGGAGTTTGTGGCAGAAATGCCAGGCAGTACAGAGGTAGGAAATAGTATGGATCAGTCTACCAGTGATGGAGGTAGCACCTCTCCAGACCTCGAAGATTGCCTGGATTCTCCAGTGGCCGCAGATTTCAGTGAGCCTCCAGAAGAGGAGAGCTCAACTTACGAAGAGCAGGAAGATGAGTTTCAAGAGAAGCCCACACAGAAACTTATGACTCCCAGGGAAAGTTTCTATAAGCATTTTCGAAAGTTTCATCAAGAAGCTGCCAGATCTGAAGTCTTTCACTCCTTAGAGGAAGAAGTGAAGCAGAACTGCTACTCACCATGTGAATTTGAACGGGCCAAAAGGTAAGGAATACTGAAATCTGCTCTGCAGCCTTTCCTTTGGCTCTTACAATTTTGAAAGTGAATTACTTAGCTCTGTACTCAAACCTATCTGCTTCTAATCTCTGCTGATTATTGAAGATTTTGTTTTACCATCTTATTCTGACTATCCTAATCTGCTGTCTCTGTTTACTCTCATCTTATTAGAATTTTGCATAAATCTGCACTGCAAGACAGTTGTATGAGTGCTGTACTACTGTAATCATACACGCTGTTCAGCTGAAGCTGGGTGCAGTTTGAAATCAGTGGAAAGACTCTTACTGACTTAAATAGGAACCAAAGACTTTCTTATTTATTTTACGATCTTTTAATTTCCATTTTCTCAGAGTTGTCTTAAATAGGCACCAAAAATTTCTTTCTCATTGTATTATCTTTTAATTTCAAATTTTTTCAGAGATAATAAAAAAAATTCAGAAGACAAACTGTGATCAAGGAGCAAAAAAAAAAGTTATTTTCCGGTCTTCAGAAGCCAATAGAAACCCTGAGCCAGAGGAGTTATACAATAAAATACAGTGCAAACGGACTCAGCCTCCTTTTACATTCTTTTGGGTATATCAGACACTGGCACACAGAAGATGATCCATTCCATTTTCATAATCTTTCCCAATGCAAAAGAATAATTATCAGAACAAAAAGGATTGGTGGAAAGACAACTTCAGTAATTTTATCTAGAAACTAATTTCTATTTTTCCACACAGTCACTTGAAATCCTTTTGTTACTCTTGACATTCATCAAGCACAGAACCAGACAGTCAGAGATTCCAGCCTCCGGGGAGTCACAGCACTAGCTGACTGCAAGTCAAGAGGAACCACAATGGCGAGTCATACTTTTAGCTCCTCTCTCTTGAGAGGAGAAGCTTCACTCACATTCATGAGTGATGCTCCTGCTTATATATATGCTTCTCTACTGCTGAGAATAAAACCAGCAGAAATACATCTGTAGCAAACATATTTGCCAAGGGATACAGTTTCAACAAAACTAAGTTTCTTGTGGGAAAATATCAATTCCAATAAAAGTTTTGGATTCTTCCCAAGAAGGAAGTTCTGAAATAAATGTTTTTATTTGGTACATTCTTAGTATCATTTAGTTTCAGCTTTTGCATGTTCAAAAGGCAGCCAGACCAGTTTAAGACAGCATGCATTTTAAACAATATTTTAAATGTAATCTCAGTTTAAAGGATACTTCCACTTAAAAACATACAAAAAACTCCAGAAGGACATAGTAATTAATGAAGGAATTCCTTTTGATTAATGAAGAAATTTCTTTTCTTAAGATTGCTCAAAACTTTTCATGCAAATGTAGAAATCTTCTGATATGAACTTTAAAAGTTCCATTTTCACATGGAAAATTCCTTTCACTCTTCTTGTTATTGACACCAATAAGAGTCTTTGAAAAAGCTGCTTTGAAAAACTTTAACCCATAGTTTTCCCCTGTGAAGTCCAGGTGTAGGGGTCACAAGACTCCAAAAGAAAGTTGAGAATGTGTATGGACCTGCAGGACCAAGACTCATGTTATTTCCCATGGTGATGTAGAGACGGGCTAGAAGCTGTGCTGTGATTAAGCCACTGCTGGCTCATTGCCTTGAGCTTGTGTAGCTCTGCCAAACGCCTTTGATACCCTTTGAAGGTCAGTCAGCACTCCACTAGCACGTGACAGCTTCTATGACACCCACATTGACTAACATCCATTAAACTTACTCTTTTCTTTCCTGTCTCCAAAAGAAAGGAGCAGACTGCATTTGCTGTTACCCTTAAACATTTCTTTTAATTATCCAAGTCTTCTTCCACAGTATTGTAAGTATCTGTTGTCCAGCTATTAAAGCACAAACTGTCAGCTTCATTCTCAGAGTTGCTGGGCTACTGGAGACGGCCAACTTCTCATTTTCTCCCTGCACAGATATAAACTAACAGACTGGATTGCTTCCCTCACTGAGGGCATACAGCATGAACCTAAAAGTTTTTCTTATTTTCATCAGTATTTCAAAAATACCATCGAAGACTATTAGTCATATCCAGCCAAAATGCCTGTTTTGCTACTTTGCTTTATATTTTCCTTCTGACCATAGACAACTTTTGAAACAAGAGCTTAACACTGGGGATCTTCTGTGATTTCATACAAGACACACAATTTGTGTTCCTCATAGTTGTGTATGTTTGCTTGGGAGATGGCAGACACAGTTCAGTTCTATCAGAGAGCAAGAGATCCTAGGCGACTGTTATATATGAAATGACATGGCATCTTCGCTATGTGAAGCATTAATAAAAGCTATGTCATTTTAAGTGTTTTTAAGATGAATGAGGTTTAGCAATATTTCAATAAAGACTGATATGAAGAAAACACACTTTAAAAAAAAATGTGTTTCAAGCATTTCTATTAGCTTTAATTGTAAATTTAATGGAAGACTGCTATAGTAGTCTATTAGACTACTATTAATGACAACAGCCAAAACAATATTAAACACAACACATATGATTACAGTCTGGGCTTGAACATTAAAAGTGCTGAATACACTGGAATAAAATTAATAATTTTAATTCCAGTAATTGAACAAATCCATTGATTTCTGTAGGACAACTTTTATGCTTCAACGCAAGCATAAGAATAAAAGCAGGCTTACAAAGAGAAGTCAGGACTTGTATTTTTTTAATGGAGAGACAGGAATCATTTTATATTTTATGTTTCTGGTCTGTGTTCTAGTTACCAAGAAAAGACCTGTAGGAGCCAGGAATGTGGCTGGCATTCCTTTTTCAAGAAAAATGCAAATATGAAAATTGTAGTAGTATTGTAATGTGCATATCACTTACCAGATAAGTTAATTAAGTTGTTTATGGCAGATGAAATAATTAGTGGTCTAGGAATTGTCCAATTATTCTTTCCAAGAAGCAACCAAAGTTTTTTAATGCCTTAAAAAAAAAAGTGCAAGATTTTGCAAAGGCTGTTTTCAAATTCTGAAAGCTTTTTGATCTTTTAACTAGCTTTGCAAAATATTGATTACTTATTTATTTTTATAGTAACACTGGAAGACCCAGAGAGCAATTTAATACCATAACCAGTACTTCAGTTAAAATTAAAATTAAAATAGGGTCGTGTATAAGCAGTAGACTTTTCAGTGGCCATCTAATAAAGCATATGGAGGAAAACCCCAGCACTGCAATCTTTTTATTTTCCAGCCACATATTTAGTAAGAGTGATGATGACCTATCGAACACAAAATGTATGCCTGAAACTCTCTCTCTAACCCCTATTGATGAAGAGTATCTCACTATCAGCTCAACGTCTGTGACCTCACTTTCACGGGGAGGAAGCTCCGAGACACTCTCCACAACCACGGCGACCCCACAACCACGTGTTTGTGGTCCTTTCTCATCATCCCTGCCTGCTAGAGAGACACGTGACAGTGACAACGAATGGGAAGACTTGGAGGAACTAGATGAAGAGAAGGAAGAAAAGGAAGATTGCACTAGGGTATGTGACAGGCACCAGATTATTAACAGGTAGAATATGCCAAGGTAAAAGAAACAATTTTAAGAATGCAACATTCTTAAACATTAATTTTAACTCATTATGTATGCTATTTCAGCATGGCTTTTTTTACTTTCCTGAACATCCACAATCTTGAAGCAAAGCAGACCTTCCTCTATGCCCAGCTCTTGCCATCTTACCATTTTTTAAACTTTCCAGCATTGTGCAGTATTATTCCCAGTGTACAAAGGCCTAAAAGCCCTCTAGTAGCCTCTAAAATTAATTGGAGTCAGCTACTTGGCTTTTTTCTGTCATGTTTTAAACCCATGTGGAAAATCACTTTGTTACAGTGATACTACTGTGATGTCCTGATAAGAAAGTATGCTTGTGCTAATTACCATTTAAAATATAGGGCTCAGTCCTGCCAAATGCTGAACATTGCTGACACTAATGAGTTCCGAATTCCTACTAATTCGAGAGCACCGAGGACAAAATTCAGGTCCAGCCATTCCCTTCAGTGGGACAGCAATAGCAATAACAACAATAATCTCTGCACCCTACTATTGCAATGCTGCTTAGCTCAGAGGACTCCAAGCCTTTCTTTACACATTCCAAATGCCAAAATTCTAGTCCCCGATGGCATTCTCTGCCTTATTAGGCCCTATCAATCAATCACCATGAAGCTCCACTAAGTAAAAAAAAGTAAAATTAATTCTGGAATAAGGCAGTGATGGATCAGAGAAACCCTTATGTATGCTCTTATTTATACCATCTGAGGATCTGATTCCTATCTGCATATAAAACATAATGGAAGATGTTAATGAAGCAACAGCAAAGCCTACATCAAACATATCTTGTGCTTATTTTAATAGGAAATGGAGATCTTTGTGACTTTGACAAAGTCAGAGAACAACAGTTACGGATTCTCTGTAGTTCTTAACAAAATGGACAACTGCCTGTATGTTGATGAAATCTTGAATGAGCCTGCCCTGTCTGATGGAAGACTAAGAAGGGGAGACAGAATCATTATGGTACAGTAACCCTTTGAGTTTATACAGAGGAGAGAATATTTGCAGATCAATGTCATTTAGCTTCGGTATTCTTCCTTCCGTAGGGTCCAGTTTATCACATATTTAAGCATGCAAGTGCAAATAGGTCCTATAATAAATGCAATTCTGCTGACTTCAGTAGGACAAATTTCAGACTGAATAGATTGTATGACCAGGCAAATAACATGAATCATCTAGCAGCAATGCAAGACAACCAAGACATTAAATGCCTTCCCAATTAAATGACACAAACTGAATTAATGTAATAAGATACATGACATACAAAGGATGCAGGAGTTATGTCCTTTGTAATGTATGAATAAAGCTTGTTTTCAACCTGGTTGATCTACAATTTCTTGCATTAGGCTGTCTTCCTTGTTATTTTGCTACAAGACCTTGAGTTTCAAGAAAAAAGAGCTATTTTTATGAAAACTCTGCATTCAGAAAAATAGAAGTTCAAAAAAGAAATCTTACTGCAATTTTAAGTGTTGCATTCACTGACATTAAATACCACAGCAAAGCAGTAACATAAAAGTGAAAACTAATTTAAGTTCATATGCAAAATTTAGAGTGGAGGGACAAGTACATGAGATCTATGACATCAATGAGATCTATGACATCATTTTACCGGTTTGTTATTTAGGTGAATGGAATTGATGTCACATCTTTACCATGCAATGAAGCCCTGACTTTACTGCAGAGCTCTCCTCCTGATCTGCACCTTGTGGTTGGTCGTGCTGGCAGTGATCCACATCCCTCTATTAGGCCAGATGAGATTCCCGAAATTACTCTCACAAAAGGTGCCAATGGACAGCTAGGTGTGTAGTAAATATCGTGCATACTATTTCGGACAGGGATTACAGCAATCTTAAGATAATCATAAGCAACTGTGGTCTTGGATCAATATGACCCTTAGTGACCTTGACACCTTTATGCTCTCCTCCATCACTCATGACAAAGAAGGAAGAGTTTTGTTTTGGGCAAGGCCTTAAAGGGAAGACTAATATCTCTTTATTAGACCAATGAAGATAGTTGAAAAACTATGTTTGTATTATTACCCTATCAGCTGAAGTTTCTGGCAGATGTCCAGTCTCATATTTTTATGTTACTGAGACACAGAAGTTGTTGGTAGTTAGATAATAACGCCTACTACCTGCTAAGATACATAAAGATCCATGTGCAGGGAAAGGAAAAAAAAAAAGAAAAAAAAAAGCAAAGTTTAAGAAGGATGAGCCACTGGTTAGGGCAATAGTTTGCTCTTCAAAAAACCTCCACTCAAATCCTCGATTCATCACAGACACAAGGCTTTATCTACATTGTGCAATACAAGTGATAAAAGAAATCCCCACAGCGTGAATATCTTGGTATTTCTGCAGAATGTGGTGAGTACTGCACACAGATAAACCTGTAGACCCAGGAAACAGTATAGCTATATTTGCTCAGGTACAGCATCCTGTCTCCAGTTCAGAAACTAGCTTGTTCGGAGATTGCTTGAATATTGTTGCATGATTCTGTTTTGCACTGTATAGGTATCTCCTTAGTTGCCATATGCCTCCGTTCGCTATGTCACTCTTAAGTCACTCTTAAGATTGCAAGACACTTAAGCACTCTGGTAATGAAGGAGTTACTGCTATGCAGCTAAGTGTCTTATTCAAATGACTGTTCAACATCAGGTGAAATAAAGCACTGTGGAATAGCTGAAGCATAGAGATGGACAATACAATTTAAGTTTTTTCCACACTTTTTTAATATCTGATTGCATTTCACTCTCCCAGTCCAGCTCTTACACCCCATCTCACTGGGGCAAGGCTGTTTATAATGTTGGTGATTTGTTCAGCCTATCTTTCAATGACCCACACCTATTCTATTAGGCTGTATGTCACTGACAGTGAAATTCAAAACATGCTGCCACAAAAGATGCTTTCTCTGCATTATTCTAGGCTTGAAGCTGACAGGAGGAGCTGGAAGCAAGTTACAAGGTATTTATGTGCTAGAGATAGTGCCTGGCTCTCCTGCCAGTGTGGAAGGCAGTTTGCAGCCACGAGATCAGATTGTTTACATCTGTGGACTGTGGACTGAGGGCATTAGCCTGGATGATGCAGTGAGAGTGTGTGAAGCTGCCACCCAGAATGTCCAAATCAAAGCCACAAGGTAAATCTGAGCACACTCAATCTCAATCCTAATGTTAAAGCAGGTTTCTAAATTTCACATCAACAAGACAAACAATAAAAACAAGACAAACAACAAGAAAAATACTTTATCTCAAAGGTCTGAATGTTGCAACCTGATACATAACATCCATAAGATATCTTAACTCCTTGTAATTACAACTAACACAGTGAATACAAGTAGACTTGTACGACACAAATGAGGACTCTTCATCATCCAAACACAAATGTGAATCCTTTAACTGTGAGGCTGGCCACCATTTTCAGATATCCTGTTCTCCAGTGAAAATCTTTATATTTCCACCACTAGTGCCAACCTTCTCCACACTTTCTCAGATTCACAACTACAGGCAAGAAACTAGCTCAGATGGGAAACTCTGAGTTACTTCCAACAGCCAGATGTTTCAGAAAGGTGTTAAAAATGCAGCATTTAATCTGCAGTAAGCTAAGAATTTCCCTCATCAATTCTTGGCTGCACTTTAGACTTATTGTGTTCTACAGTCTGATAGAGCATCAGCAGAGGTCCTGGACTGATATAGAAATAGCTTCCAGAGATCTCAGAGGAACAGTCAAATAGTAACCCAAAAGTATGTGAATGGCTAAGTTACATAACCAGAGTTAGCAATAGTGCATCTGTCCCAGCTGTCTTAATGTAGTTCAAACTTTTATCAATGTTCTATGAACTTGCACTGGGCTAGCAGATGAAGAAACTGCAGCCTCATTATACTAACAAGCAGTTAGTAGGCAACACACCCCGATCATAAGAATTTACAAACTAAGCAGACACTGTTGTTAAATACAATCAAATACTTTATATACTGATATAAATGCTCTTGAGGAAAGCACCATTAACAAAATCATAGAAGTACAACTACAATTTAGACAACTGACTTTCTAAAAATATTTTTTTGTATGTGCTTTACAAAGCATGCAGCTCTTAATGGCTCACGTATTTCACTTTTTCTGCCCCCAGAAATGGCAATCCAGTGGTTCCTATAGAGCAGGAAAATAGTAAGTAAGGCTAATATTTTTGGTTTTTAGTTCAAAACTTCTGATTTTGGAAATAAGCATACGGTACTGATTCATTGCATTAAAAAAACCTTCTTTTTTGTTGTTGTAACTTGGCATTCAGTATTTCTGTTACAGCCATTCTAAGGGTTTGAAGAAAATCTGGTAGCTCTTTAAAGATAGACATAAAATGTATAGTTCTGTGTAAAAAAAAAAATTATTTATTGCATTTTGCATAGACAGTTTCTATTTTTTTTAATTTGTTGTTATTAAATGGGAATTTTACATGGTCGTATTTCATATTTTGATTGAAACTATTCTTTAAGGGGTTTTCCAGCACTTTTTGAGCCACTATTTAATATGAGCCACTACTTCATCATCTAGACCAACTTTTTAAACTGTTTTCATAAATCTAGAAAATGAGAAAAAGGCAGCACCAATATCCCTATATCCCTATATAAGGCCATTCCTATCAGGGGATGGTATTTAATACTATAACTGAGACAAAGCTTCAGTAATCATCTGCACTACAAAGAATTGCTCTAGCAGTAGAAGGAGTCTCAGCAAGCAGAGGTTGCATCTGCACCATCAGGTGGAAGGATAGGTATCACCTCTACGTCGCTGCATAGAAAGTGCGTTAGCTATGCAAGTAATACTTTCCAGTGTACATTTGTCTGGAGTGTTAAGTCACGCGTAACCCACAGTTTCATTTACCTAACTGGATATCTGAATTTTTTTTAATCACACAAAGATGACCTGAAAAAATAACCCTGGACCTACATGTGCCTACACTCATCTGAATACTGGCATATGGCTACCTGAAGAAATTATTCCAAGTCAAGCTAGTTACAGATTTCCTACTCTACAACAACTCGCCATGTGTTTGTTTTCATAAACGGAAGCAGCTTATTTCACTTACTGAAGAACAAGCTTCTTTGAATTTACTACAAGACACAGATAAAGTTATGTGTACTCTCAGTTACTGTGGTGCAACTAAAGCATATCTTGGTAGGACCTTGCTTACATATCCTTGCTCCATGAGCTTTGCAGATTCCAAGATTTCTCAAGACACCTTCAAAATATATTACCAGATCTGATCCACCTCTGATACAGATTCATGAACTCTACACTGGTACAGTTACCCGCCTCTCTTATAAAACAAGATCCTTCCCTTTTATAAGGCACTTAAAAAAATCCATAGTAATTTGGTATTTGGTGTTCCGTTTGATATCGTCTCTGATAGATTTATAGATAAATCTATAATAATTTGCTATTAAGGAAGGAAGCCTTCATTTTATAGACTCTCTTAGCTACAAAAATGCATACTAAAATTGCAAATGCAACAGGGAGCCTTTTTTTTTTTAAAAAAAAACAACAGAACACTCATCATTTTCTAGAATTAATACATTAAGAGTACTTTGTGGAAGACAACTAAGATCACCAAGATATGATAAAGCAAAATCCCAAAACTGGGGGTGGGTGGATAGAGGTGGAAGTGTCAAGAAATGCACACTGTCTTCTTACATATCCACCTCTGCAGACACTAACACACCCTGCTGCTTCCTCTGCCTGATCATTGCCACGTGTCTAGAATGACTCAGTCTGATCTCTGATTGTTGTTAGAATTTTAAAAATAGCAATGACTGAGATGCAATATCTCTGCAATTCACGACAGAATTGTTTATATCACTGTGCAAACTGGCAAACTTAATCATGCAGTAGTAAGTGTCTCAAATTGCCTCATATAGTATCAATATTCAATATTGATGCTTTGTTTAATAATCTAAGCACAGAGTTTACAGTCCCTTGTGTATACGAAGGTTAGCAGGAGGCCTGTCAGAACAAACCTACATGTATGCTTTTAGGGCCACCTGCTGAGACAGAGAAAGCCAATATTTCTCTCTCAAATGAAAACCTGAATTCCCGAGAACAGCATCTGCTGCATCAACATCGTAGGGAACTTTGTATTTTTCAATTAAGGTTTGTAAAACTTTGTTCCCTCTCTTTGAAAGGCAGAAAGTCTGTAGGTAGTACTGGCAGCACCTGGGAAAGATTAATTCTTCATTAACAGAACTGCCTCCCTCAGAGTTTCAAAGAACATTTATACATTACCTGTTGTCCATCTGGTGTTTCTGACCCTGTTACATACAGCTTTTAAGCTTGTTTTGAAACCTGCTTACTGAGAGGTGAAAAGTCTACAGGGATAATGTGCAGAAGGCTCAGTTCACAGTTCAGGAGTTCAAGCCCACATAAGTCCACAGGAATTTTTTTGTATTTTACATGTCAAATATAAAATGTTTTATTATGTCTCTGAATATGATTTTGAATGCTATATTATAGAACATTGTACCAGTATGACTGTGTAAAAATTGTTGCTGCTTTTTTCACAGAGAAACATTTAGAGGAAACAAACTGTGGTGCTCAGCAGAACACTCCCGATTCTCCAGAATGTAAGGTAAGTGACAATTTTATCAAGTGTGAGACAGTCCATCAAGTGAAGTGAGCTATATGGAGTGAGATTTTTTCAACAGTGGTATTTAATGTATTTGCTTCCTCTCCAGTTTCTTTGAAAGTGTGAATATAATGCATTTGAAGAGTGTCCTGTGAAGTGTTGAATTGCTTCAGCATTCATGGACTAGAATGCGCTGAGCACTTCCTGGAGTCAGACTCTTCTATTGCTGTTTTTCAATGTATAGTATCACTATTTTACCAGCTTGGTAATATAAGCACGACTGATATGATGTAGCCCTTCCATTAAGGGCTGCATAGTACTCTTAAGTCATAGGGGCTTCATAGTACTCTTAACAGCTTACAAGGTTAATCCTTAGCTTAGAAAGAAAGGAAAAAGATACAGAATGTCACAGCATCGGATTCTGGGGAAAACAAGCGTAATTGTAATTGTGAAGCATTTTCCACAACAACCTTTGAAACCTGAGATTAATATGTTTCATTCTGAAATTCTCAGATGTGGCATTTGAAAAGAGGGTAAAATTATTCCAAACCTTTGGAGTATTATGCAGCACTGACATAAACCATAACGCCCACCTACAAGAAGGGCCGGAAG